GCTAAAAATGAAGTTGACTATAATTACATCAGAACTATCAAGAAAAAACTATAGATGAATGCATACTATGGGTATGGTCATATGACCACTAACTTGGCTGAGAATATCAATTCAACCTTAAAGGAGGCACATCATTTACCTGTAATTTCGCTGGTTAAAATGACATATTTTTGTTGTGTGTAAGCTTTTTGCGAAGCTCGGGGACAAACCCTTGCTTGGATGCATAACAACCATATTTATCACCCAAGATTAATAACAGATCTACACAAGAAATGTGTAGCCTCAATGGGACGTTAGTATTAGAATTTTCTCGTAGCCATTAATTATTTCATGTGTCGGAGATGCCACAACCTCTTGAAGGGATTGAATCTAACTCATTAAAAGTGAATATACAAGAAAGGTGGTATGATTGTGGCTTCTTTCAGGCTCTAAAGTATCCATGCTCCCATGTCATAGCAGCTTGTTCACATTCTTATATGGACTACAAACGTTATGATGGTCTCGTATATCAACTTTTATAAGTATTTAAGGTATATGAATTTGAATTTTCCCTTATAGGTAATGAAAATACTCAAATAAGATTCAAAGTTGGCCTAATCTTCAACCAAATTCGATTTAATTAAGGGAATCGGGTCGTTTAATATCCAACTAAATTCATTGTGATATGGATATTCGAGAGAAGACCAGAGAATCCAAAAGATATGGGAATTGTAGAAACTCATGCCACAATAGGAAAAAATGTCCATCTCTTTTATCCTATCTCAACAGTGGATCATAATTATGTGATATCATATTTTATAATATTGTATTTTATGATATTGTATTTTATGTTATTATATTTTATATTATTGTATTTTTTGGTATTGTATTTTATGTTATTTTATTTTCTGGCATTGTATTTCATGTTATTGTATTTTATATTATATTATTTTCTGGTATTGTATTTTATGTTATTATATATTGTATTATTGTATTTTATGTTATTGTATTTTATATTTTTTTCATATAAATATTATTTATTTTAATTCTTTTAACATGTTACATTCACAATATCTAAAACAACAACAACAACAACAAAACCCTATTCCCATATGTAATGGGGTAAGGGGGAGGTAGGGTAGTAGGCTGTCCCCAAACGCCAGGTTAAGAGCAGCTTCGTGGAAGACCTCCGGCAGTCAAAAAATTAAAAATAAAGATAAAATACAATGCATGTTTAAATAAATAAATAAAATACGTAGTTGGACAATCTTCATATGCAGTCTTCATATGCACGTCTATAATGGGAAGTAATCCCTGCAAATATACCCCTGCGTAAAAATATCTGCATATAGACAGAAAAGTAAGACCCGTCCAAAATTATAAAGAGGAAACATGAAGAACAGTATACAAGGAATTCAACGATAGCAGGCTTCAAGAATGGATAAAGTCAAATGGGTTAAAACATAAAACTAAGGCAACACTACTCCGCTACCTTAGTTCTAGGCCTTCATTAATTCCAATGACAGAAACGTATAAAAAGTATAAGTAATGAAATTACTACAAATGCATTAAAAGAAGACAAAGATGATACACCCAATGGATGTGACTCGCCCTACTCGGCTACCCTGGTCTTAAGTCGCCATAATTTCCTATCATAGGTCATGTCCTCAGTAAGGGCTAATCCTTTAAATCAGATCTCAAGCAGTCTTCCCATTTCCGCCTTGGTCGACCTCTCCTTTTGGTACCGTCGACTGTAATCGACTCTACCCTCCTAACCGCATCCGATGGTTGTCGTCTTTTGACATGCCCAAACCACCGTAGTCTTCCCTCCCTCAATTTTTCGGATACATGCACCACCCCCAAGGACATCCTAATAGCAGAGTTTGGTGTCATGTCCCATAGAGTCCTACCACACACCCATCGAAGCTTTCTCATTTCTGCGGCCTCCATCTTCCTTACGTGATCCTTCTTGATAGCCCAACATTCTGATCCATACAGCAGCGCTGGTCTTATTGCCATTCTATAAAATTTTCCCTTAAGTTTTAGAGGTACCTTCTTGTCACACAAAACTCCAGTAGCAGCCCTCCACTTTAGCCATCCCGCCTTTATACGGTGTGAAACTTCTTCATCTACACCCCCATCTTTACGTATCATATACCCTAGGTACTTGAAACAATCCTTTGAGGGGAGAACGTGTCCTTCTATGCATATTTCTACGTCTTCATCGTTTTGGTTCCCACTGAAGTTTGAACATAAATACTCTGTCTTTTCAATATTGATCCTTAGTCCTTTTTCTTCCAAAGTTGTTTTCCAGGTAGACAGTCTACTATTCAACTCAGTTTTTGATTCAGCCACTAAGACAATGTCGTCAGCGAAAAGCATACACCATGGAACACCGTCTGGTGTCGCACAATAGATGTCATCCATAATCAAAGCGAAGATGTAAGGGCTGAGAGCTGACCCTTGGTGGAGTCCGATTTCCACCGGAATGCCTCGGTGTCGCCAACTGTAGTCCTGACGTAGGTAGTATATCTACAGTACATATCACGAATTGCACGGATATAAGCAGTTGGGATCCGTCTTGTTCCCAATGTCTTCCAGATCGTATCGCGGGGAACGCTATCATACGCCTTCTCAAGGTCAATGAACGCCATGTGAAGATCTCTATTTTTTCCCTATATTTCTCCATAAGCCGTCGAAGTAGATGAATCGCCTCCGTAGTAGACCTGCCTGGCATAAAGCCAAATTGGTTTTTCGAAACCCTAGTAACCTGTCTCAACCTAGCCTCTATCACCCTTTCCCATAGCTTCATGGTATGGATGAGTAGTTTAATACCTCTAAAAGGTATATATTATTGTTATATATTGAAATATCTAAACTTATTATCATATTCGATATATTTTATATCTAGGTTAATAGTTTAGGGCATATGAATATCTTATGAGTTTTAAAAAAGTAAATTAGGGACTTAAATACAAATAACGAAATATCTTAGAGCTTATATTTTAACTCAAACTATTTTTAATAATATAATAATTAAAATCCTAAACCACTAACCTAACCCTAAATCCAAAATTAGTATATAAGTAGAAAATGTGCTTTTTGCAGAATGAGCTTTACACATGTACTATCAAATCAACATAAGACACTTTCTGCATAACGCTTTTTACATTGGTGCTGTCAAATCTGATCTTAAGTAACTAATTTTTTTGTGTCAATGATATAGGAAAATATTCTTATTATTTGTTCAATTTACTATTATTGTTGTAAACCTTCATCATAATTTAAATATTTTCTATTTTTAATAAAATATCTACTTCTAAAAAAAGGGTAAACTACAATGGTGACCACTTAACTATTTCCAGATTTTATTTTGACTACCGAGGTTTCAATTTGATCAAGCATACCACCCAACTATTTAAATGATTCAATCAAGCCACCTGTCGTTAAAACTTAACGAAGAAGATGATGTGTCAGTTAAAGTTTGTTGGTATAATTACATATTTAATCCCTATTACTTACATAAGGTGTCAATTTGATCATACTTTTAATGAAATTCAATAAATTTAATAATCTAATTAGATTATGACACATGTCAGTCTATAATTGGATGATTAAATTTATTTATAACTTATTTAATTCATTAAATTTATTTTCCTTCAATAATATGGTGACATGTGTCACACTCCGATTACAAGAAAACAAATGAAAGAAAGAGTTGGTGTTAAAGGTATTAAAACCAGGGACGCTTGGCTCAACATACACATGAGCAACCACTAAGGCAAAGGTGTTAGATGATTTATATTTTACAACATACAATATATACCTTGTATACTAGTGTTAAAAATTAAATTTAAATTCATAAAATTTAATACATCTTAAATTAAATTCATATCCTAACTTTAAAAAATATATTTTATTTTTTATTCAACTTATTAAATATATTTTATTTTTATTTTAACTTTAAAATATATTTTATTCTTATGATAACTTTAAAGATATATTTTCTTCTTTTATTAGTTTAAAAATATTTTTTATTAACTTAACTTCAAATAATATATTTTATTATTTTATTAACTTTAGATAATAATAACCAAATAATTTTTTAAGTTAATAAAAAATATATATATATATATATATATATATATATATATATATTTGAAGTTAAGATAATAAAAAATATTTTTAAAGTTAATAATAGAATTAAATATTTTTAAAGTTAATATAAGAATAAAATATATTTCTAAGTTAAAATAAAAATATATTTTTAATAAGTTGAATAAAAAATATATTTTTGACTTAGGATATGAATTTAAGTTAAGATATATAAAATTTTATGCATTTAAATTGAATTTTAAATATCAGTATATAAGATATATACCATATATTGTAAAACACAAACCATCCAGTATCCTTTCTGTAGTGGTTGTTCATTTGCTTGACAACCCAACGGCCCAAGTTTGAATCCTTCCAAAGTCCCAAGTTTGAATCCTTCCAATTCCAACTTTCTTTCATTTGTTTTCTTGTAATAATAGGGTGACATGTGTGACCTTCTTATGAGAGGAAAATAAATTTATTTAATTAAATTAAAGATTAAATTGACATCTTTTGTAAGTAACATGGACCAAATGTATAATTATACCAAAATTTTAACTGAGACGTCATGTTAAATTTTAATGGCATGTGACTTGATTGAACCATTTAAATAGTTAGATGATATAATTACTAAATTGAAGCATCGATGATCAAAATGAAAGAAGACAATAATTGAATGGTCACTCGTGTGATTTACTCAAAGAACATTTGTTGTTCCCAAAATAACTATGCAAGACTCGAACACGATGAACAACAAGGACCACAAAGGGAAATAATCTCTTCTCTGACGATATGTATGGCCATAATTTTTTCTATGGAAGCCATGCAACCTCCGCCAACCACATAGTCTTGACCTTTTCTGAATTGTGTCCCCGAAATTTGTAGAGTTTTACTATAGAACTATGGTACTTTTATCCTCTTAATTATTGACCAACGATTTAATTACACTTTCAGGCTGAGGTTTTAGTGCTTTCTCAGGAGAAAACATCAGCTAAAAACCATGGTGGCTTTAGGCCCCCAAGCCACACATTTGACTGTCACTCAACAGTTACCAACACGTAAACAAATAGCTTTCAGCAACGTTCTCCGATGTGGGATTGCAGAGCCGTCAGGGGAGCCAGCTCCATTGGGACAAAAAACAAAATACAAAGATGGGTTGTTTGAGAAGTCGTTTATGGGCCTTTTCGCCCGCAAGATGGAGAGGTTCGCGGCTGCACCGAAAGCCGGAACGGTGCCGGAGAAGGGGGTTTTCGACTATGACTACGAGAGCTTCGTTGAGGTTTCAAAGAGGGTAATGCAAGGGAGGACCCGGTTGCAGCAACAGCAAGTGGTCCGACAAGTGCTCTTATCCATGCTCCCTCCAGGCGCACCTGCTCAGGTAGACAACTTTCAGGAGAGGATAGCCCATAGTATTGAATTGCGATGGCGGTGGCGGCTACAGTTGTGGTGTCATAATTGCAGACGTTATGACACTAAAAATGTGATTGGGGTGTTGCAATGACTTTTAAAAACATTAAAATATGATTTTTACGTTATGTTGCGATTGTAATTTAATACTATGTGATAGCTCCGAAACTTTTGGGAAAACACTATAAGACCCCTTAAAATTGTTTAGAGTGATTCTGATGTCTTGTTGGCATGGATGCAGTTTAGGAAATTGTTTCCACCAACACAATGGGCGGCGGAGTTCAATGCGGCTCTTACAGTTCCATTCTTCAACTGGTTAGTTGGGCCATCTGAGGTAATTATTTTTAACCCTTTGAAGTTTGAAAAACCCATGCCATTTTGCACTTTTTTTTTTATCATTTTAGAAAGGTAGAATGTCAAAATTAACCTCTAATGTTTAAAATGATGATTTTAACTCTTCTTTTTATTTGGGAACATTTTGATTCTCATTATTTCATTTTGGAACAAAAAAATTATTAGTTAACAAATGATAAACACTCTAAAATAGGAATATTTTCACCCTAAAACGAAATGTTGAGAGTCAAAATGTTACAAAATAAAACGCTAAGGTTCAAAATACTAGAAAAAAATAATATGGACTAAAATAATCATTTTAGTAAATATTGAGTGCTAACTTTACCTCTTAGGAAATCCGATTGATTCCCCTTCTTTTCAATGCAAGAAAATGGGTAAAAGAAAACTATAAGATTCTCAAAATGGTCTTTTTTTTTCAAACTACATAAGCTTGGTTTTTAGCATCTAAAGTTTCAAATTTTCTCATGTTGAAGGTAACTATAATAGATGATAGTTTTGTAGGTGGTGGAAGTGGAGGTAAATGGTATAAAGCAAAAAAGTGGAGTTCATATTAAGAAATGCAGGTACATCACTTGATTTATAGCATATATGTTTTTAATACACTTATTGTTAGATTTCTTCTTTGACCGTTCTATGAAGTTAGAAACAAGGCAATTACAAAAGTGTGATGTTTACGGGACGGACGAAGTAGTATAATTCGTTTGATCCTTATAATGTAATAGTTGTAACAAATCTTATATTTTTCGACCCTGAAATTTTTTCTTCTTTGTCAGTGATTTTTTCGTTTTGAAATTTTTCACGTAAATTTTAATCTTCTTTATATTTTTCGATCGTTTTTCGTTTTTCACTAATCATTTTGATAATAACATTTGTTCTGCAAATTTTCTTGCTAAAAGGTACCTAGAGAACAGTGGGTGTGTTGGGATGTGTGTGAATATGTGCAAGATTCCAACCCAAGATTTCTTTACCAATGAGTTCGGGCTTCCATTAACTATGACTCCAAGTATGCTTGCTATTGCACTTTGATTTGGATTTTTATGGCAACTTACGGCCATACAACTGTGGGTGATAAAAGTTGAACTTGTTGATGCTCAGATTTTGAAGACATGAGTTGTGAAATGGTGTATGGACAAGTACCACCAGATTTCGAAGACGACCCAGCATCTAAACAGCCTTGTTTTGCTGAAATCTGTAAGTTCATTTCAGCTTCAATGTATCAAAATAGGGATTCAACTTAGTTTCTCTAATACCCCGGAGGTAGTAACGAATCCATAAATATTTTTTAGAGTGACCACGTATATATTAACAATATAAAAATTTTCGTATGAAGTGGGTATATATAAAATTTCAGAGTGACACGTCAATAAAAAGACGAGATATTAATATTATTTTGTTGATTTGCAGCCTTAAATTTACCACTACACTGTTTGCAGGTTCCCTGGCAAACCCCAACTCCAGTGTCTGCCCCAAATTACAAGCATGAGATGATACTTCCCCGCCTTACTTCTCTTTCAAAAATAGCTACCTCAAATATATATAAATACATCACTACTTTTTCTTATACCCTGTTAGTCTCCATGATCTTCAACATGCATATCTCTCTCCCTCTCTCTAATGCTTCACTACTTTTTCTTATACCCTGTTAGTCTCCATGATCTTCAACATGCATATCTCTCTCCCTCTCTCTAATGCTTCACTACTTTTTCTTATACCCTGTTAAGTCTCCATGATCTTCAACATGCATATCTCTCTCCCTGTCTCTAATGCTTCACTTCTTTTTCTTATACCCTGTTAGTCTCTATGATCTTCAACATGCATCTCTCTCTCTCTCTTGTAACATCATAAATTCTAAAAAAATGGAAACTTATTTCAATATCATTTACTTTATACTATGCACTTCATTATTAGATTTTATTATTTTATTTTTATTACATCCTTATCGGTTTAAATAATTCGTGTATACTAGCTCTCGAAGATTCGTGCACTACACCTCAATATGTACGTTTAATTCTTGTTACTTTTTGGTAATCAAGTAGTTAATTCTTATAACTTGACGATGTGACACATTAATAAAATTATTTAAATTTTAAATAAAATATGAATTTAATATTAACTTTTGATAAAATATTAATTTGACTATAGAACTTTAGATGCAATAATAAATTGACTCTTGAATCTAGTCAGAGTCCTCCGTTAGTCGTCTCGTTCAAGAGTAAATTAAAATTTTAAATAAAATATCAATTTAATCATGAATCTAATGATTCTTTTCTTTTGAGCTACATATCCTGCATCGTTGGGTTTATGGATGATTTACTTTTCCTTTTGATTTAATGACTGTCTTGTCGTTGATTCTTTGCCTTTATTATCTAGTTATATTTACTTATTGTGTTGTGGTCTTTTTATTATGGTTAAGCATTCGTTAAGAGATTAGGATTACTTTAATCCTAGCAAATCAAGAAATCATAGGATTCTTTAGAAGGAATCAGAGTGAACAAGAGTTAATAATGTAGGGAGATCTAGCTACCTTTTTGTATGAGGAGATTTAGTAAGATAGACTTACTTTGGCCAAGTAGGTCTAATAGTGAAGATTCGAGAGAGCACTCACATGACAAATATTTTAATACCATAGCACAGTTACTCGATAATCACTGTGTTGTTTAGAAATGAAAATAGTCATATGTGTATTCAAGTCTACAAAGTTGAGGTGCAAAAGCCTGCCTTTGTCCATCATTTGTATCAGCTTTTACTTTTGTCAGTACTTAGCATCTTCTCATTTATTTTTTTTCTTTGCAAATATATATTGATTCGGTACCACCTACTCTTTGTGGGATACGATACTTGACACACTTTGTGTGTTCACTTTATAACTTGTTAGGATAGTGTATGATTGTACTTTCGTGGAGACATTTGCACATGAATCACTTATCTTTCGGCTTTTCCTTTCACTCGACCTTATTTACAATCACTTTTATTTCGACCCATGTTTTATTTTGATTATTTGGTTCATTTCCAAACACTTCCTCACTCGAATAAATGAATATTTTATTTAAAAAATAAAATAAACACTTTATTTATTTATTAATGTCCATTTCACAGTCCAATTAACCCTTAGCCCATTACATTCAAACTCAAAACACAAAAAATATTAATGGCTCCAAAATTAAAACCCAAATCATCCAAAGCCTTCAGTCCATTTACAAGAGAACCCAAAAAGCCCAATATCCTACCCAGAAAAGTAGCAAGGGTCTCCAACGAATCTGCCATCTTGTAGGTCTCATGCCAGTGGGTTTCAACTAACACGCGTGGTTAGCACGTGTCTATGTTTAGACTTCTCCACGTGTCGATGCTCAGGTGGCCTCCTTCACAAGCAGTCATTTGCATCTCCTCATCAACCGTTCATGTTTTTGGAAAGATCTTTCTTCTAGAAGGTCCCATGACAGTGGATTCCAACAGGAACACGTGGTTAACAAGTGCCAACATTTAGACTTCTCCATGCTTCCAGCCACGTGTCGATGTTTTGGTGGCTCCCCTCACTAGTAGTCATTTGCATCTCCTCGTAACCATTCATGTTTTTTGAAAGATCTTTTAAGAGAGATATTTCCTTTTATGAATAAATCTTCATAAACACAAAAGGATTTTCGAATCCCTTCATTGAAAGGAGATTCATAAATTTCAGGGATTTAACGTAAACAAAAGGGAAGGTTTCCTGTATAAAGTCCCTACAAGGATACATAAAAAAGGGGATGAGAGGTTAGAATCGAAAAACGAGAGGCAACCATCAACACTAATATATTTTCGAAACAAGAGAAATTAATAAAAGTTATTTTTTAGAAATATCTCCCTCTATTTTGTATTTTTTGCTTGCATATTTTCCCACCAACTTAAGAAACAAAACAAATGTCTTACAAATCGGGAATAAACTGAAATAAAAGAGGAAGGGAAGCTTCCTTTTTTGACATTCTTCACTTCTTGATGATCGATGTAGCCTCTCAACGATCAGAACGGTGGAAAGACTCCCAAAGGGGGATGAGAAAAATATCTCAAACCCAAGATGATCTAAAGGAGGACAGAGACAGACAGTGGATGGGAAAGTCGAGGAGTCTTTGGTTGAATCATGGACTTGGAGACCTCTCCCGGTAATTTGGACTCCAAATTGGAGTTTAGGATATCTAGGTGCATTTTTTTGGTGTGATTTGGTCACCATCATCAATCGATGACGGTGACTGCTCGACTTCGATAACTATATAGGTGAACAAAATTTGACTAGACTCGAAAAGTCGAATTTTGTTTTCAATTTCAAGTTATTCGAGTCAATTAAAATTACCTAATCGGTTATTGACTTTAATTATAGTTGAAATTTAAAAATTTTGAGTCACTTGAAAAAAATGAAAATTTGATTGAATATTTTGTCAGTTTTGCAATTTAGACGCTAATTTACTTATTCATTTAATTTCTCATTCATTTTAAGTTCATGTTTAATAAATTTAAACCACATGCTCCTAAAACTTTGTATAATACATTTGTACTTTCAATTCCTCTTTTTAATAACAAGTTCTCTATTTTTTTTAATTTAGTCTCTCAACTTTTCATGATTTCCTTACTTTTCAATTCATCCTTCATTTTAAGTTGTTTTTTATAAAATTTGAATCACATACTCTTATATCACTATAGAATAACTATGTAACTCCAATTCCTTTTTTTACTATAAATGTACTCTTTTTTTTTAATTTAGTCCTTAACTTTACACTTTACTCAATTTGATATTTTGATTGCAATAGTTTGTAAATTGATTATTCTCATCAATTCCTTGACTCTCGTCAATACTTTACCTTTAAAATACCTTCTTTAAAATATGATATTGTAAATATATTTTATAAATTTAGATATATATATATATTTCACATTATAATGTTATTTAATATATCAAATACAATCTAAAATTATAAAATACATTTACAATATCATATTTTAAAGAATGTATTTTAAAGAAGCTCAAACAACCGACTTGAAAAAAAATTCAAGTTAAGTTCGAGTCATAAAATATGACTCGTCAACTCAAATAACTTAAAAAAAATTAATCAACTCAACTTTATCGAATACTCACCCCTAATCACCAATGAACGAAGGTCAACCGACGAAATTTGATGGGATCAGTTGAAGACCTAGAGAGAAGAGAGAGCTTCTCTCATTAAAAAAAAAAATAAGAGAAGGCTGAAAATGAATTAATAAAACCAAGTTTTGGCTTTTATACCTAACTAAATGGGTTGGTTTAATCTGATCAGGATCCGTGAGAGTTTCATTATTTTGGGTTACTTATGGTTGATGCCCTAATTTGTTTTTTGAAAACTCATTTCAATTCGTTTTCATTTAATTCAAATTTTATTTCTTTCATATCAACTTTCTGATTTTGTTATTGTTTAATTTCAGTTCAGTTCATTTTATTTTCTTTTGATTTATTTGATTTAACACTGAATACTAAAATGAAATAAAAAGTAAACATTAGGTATGTAATACCCCAAAATTTCAGTTAGTTTCCAAAATGTAGTTTTTGAAAGTTTAGTGGCCAAAGTATAAACTTGGGAAAAGTTTAGGGAGCGAAGTGTATTTTAAAAATTTATGTAATCTAGTCCCGAAAATGAATAGTTCACTCTCAAGAATGACATTTTCCTGGGTTTCAGATTTTTTGTATGAATTTTGTATTAAAAGTTATAAAGCGATAGATTAGTCGGGGGAAAATTCAAATAATCAGATCGAATCGAATATTTGAGATATATTTTGAAGGTTGATAAGGCAAGGTTAATAATTTCATTTCCATGACTTAAATTTTAAGGATTTACTATTAATAATTGTATTTAAGTTGATTTTTCCATGTTAAATATGAACTGTTGGATTTAAGTGACTAGATTGTAATTTTTGGAAAATTACAAGGCCAAAATCAGAAGATTAGATAGTTTGTTCACGTTTGACTATGATAATGTAATGGATGATAAAATCATGGTAATTTAATAATTATCATGAAATCCAAGGGTAAATTGGTAAATATATTTAAATTTTAAAGGTAAATTGGTAATTTTTCGTTTAATGAATTTTTAATTCCTTTATTTAATAGAGAAAGATGAAGAAAAATCAAGAGATTTATTAATATTCTCCAAGCATGGATGTGAGTTCCATGAAGGTAAGAAAAAAACTTTATTTTGATTTTTCAAGCCAATTTACTAGGAATTTGGATGAAAACATGAAATACAAATTTAATCTATATGAAATTCTCTGTCATTTGGTACCATTAGTTCATGATATTCATGCTTAAAACCCTATGTTCTTGAATTGTATGGATGAAGGGAAGGTTAGGTGTTGATGAATTAAGGATGTATTATGATGTTGTTGAATCATTTCCATGCTTGTATGATGATTAAAACAACCTAGAAATGCTTATATCATATTCGACCATGCTAGGGTTTATGATGAAATTGGTTGTTTGAATTGAAATTAATATGTAATTGATTTTAAAGGATTG